GAATCTGACCTCCTGTCTCTCTTCAGCCTGCTTCTCCCTGGAGAGATGACTTTTGTTGGCTTCGGTGGTAGCCATGTGTACTCGTACATCTAAGTGTAATTGAGCCCTCTGATAGTTACCTGTCACTCCCACTGATACTCAAGCTAACTTCAGGTACTGAAAGGGACTGCTGACAGATGTAGTAAAGGCTGCTCTTCCTGATGGAGATGACAGTTGAGTATCTGAGACATAATGATGAAGTTTATCATGGTATGAAGGATGGATTTTTAGTCTTCATTGACTTTCAGGATGCTGCAGTCAATATTTTTCAATATTGTTTGCTTTCTGTACCAGAGTAGCAAGATGGTCTAAACTCTTTTGTATGGAGGATCAGGTTCTGTTTTTAGGACTCTTCTCCTTTCCCCTTGCACAGTGGAAGATGCTTAGTTGTTTGGTTTGACATACTAAAAGCTCTTCCCATCTTGCCCACAGCAAAGATAGCAAACCAGATGGAATTGATGGTGGGGCCACTCTGAAGAGTAGACAGAACTCAAAATAATTTTAGCAGTAGGATATTTTGGTGTAAAACTATTCCACACTTTTCAGTTAAATAGAGAGATGTTACCATGTTTCTTCAGAATTATGCATTCTTTGAAGCGGGCCTTATTACAGGCATGCCACTACTTTTCAAAGTTAGCTGCAGGTAGCAGTAACTTGCTTTCTGTTTCTTTCTCTCAACTTTACCTTAAAACGTATCAGTCTGTAGTTAACGTTTGATTTCCCTTATATGCAATAGAAGACAAGATATCCCCAAACACAATCTGACAGTTTTGAACTGACTAAAAGCTTCATTTGGTAATAGAGCTTTCTGTGAATGCAACTTTCCTGCTCAGCAGAAAAAAACTTACTGAAATCATTAATTTTCAGTGTTAAAAGCATTTTCCTCCTCATTATTAGAGAAGAAGAATGAAATCACTGCATCTTCTGTGTACATGATTCACATAAGCCGAGCTACTTTCAGTTCCATTTTTCCCATCATCCTCTCTGGAGAACCCCAACAATGAGCTCATATCCATACCAAACCTGGATTAATATGAAGTCATGTACTCCACCTTTCTCTTTTTTTCCAGTGGTTTCTTCCCAGGCAGCAAAGACAGTCTCTCCACCATAACAGAATCTAATTCCTAATTTCCTGTCACGTTTATGCTCCTATGTTGGTTTCTCTTTGATAGTAAATTAATCCTGGTTAGAGAATGTTTCCTTAGCCTCTACTCTATGTAATGTTTCTTGGTTTAGGACATTAGTAAATCACTCAGTTTTGTTCCTGCAGTAGTGCTGTGTACACTCGGGCAAATGTGTGAACTTACCATATTCCTCATCCAAATTTCTCACCCACACTATTAACTTCCGTTTCTTTAAGGAGGTCTTCATGTCTAGAGTGGCAAATTTTCCATGTTCAGGACAGTGACTGGAAAGCAGCTGGAGTGCCATCAGCTATGACAAAGCTTGAAACTTCAGAGATTTGTCATTTTCCCCATAGCCCCTTCCAGATCTCCAGATAAATACATGGGGCTAAGCAAACTTTGATCAATGAGATGGAACGGTACTTGTCACATACACATTCTTCTTCAGTAATAAGAGGCTGTGCCATTTCCTCTACCTTCCTATTTTCTGATCAGTTCTTCAGGTAGGGACAGTGCTGACAATACAGAGCCAAGCCCAGAAAGTGCAATGATGTGGTTTATTTCCATGCATGAGTCAGGTTGGCACTGCACCCTGAAGTTCAGTTGCTGAAGCCTAATCAATCAGTACCATTTGTGCCCTTTGTGTTGCCTTAAATTTATTAGCACTTTGACTGCACTGACACATTCTGATACATCTTTAATAACACAGTCTTCAAAAGCATCTTAAGGGTCTCTGCCAGTGGGTGGGTATGCATCTTCCCTCTCACCAGTAATTTGAAAAGGGTCAGTCTCAGTCTGTCCTGATATCTCTAACTATTTTTTATACTTTCTCAGCCCTGCTAAATAAAATACAAAGTTTTGCCCTTTTGACAGTCACTTGCATTCTCTTACACTCATTTTCCTTTATAATGTGGTTTCCGTGATTCTGTTAGTTCTCATGCTGCTGGTTGCAGACCTTCAGCATCTCCTCTTGTCAATATGACTCTTCCTGCCCAAGTCCCTTGTTTAACACCTTTCCTACATATTATATTTCCTACATTGTTAAAACAAATGTAGTTAGCCAGTGTGCTACAGGATTGCACTGCACAACTCATGCCTAGGTTGGCCTGTTACTTGTCCAGTGGTTGTTTTGACCTGAATCTGTAAGTGCTGAGGCAACACACTGTAGTGTGTTGGAAGTAGAACAAAGTGCCACTAAAGTCTCTCCAATAGCACAAATACAAAAACATTTTTCTCACCAGAAGATTTCTTTCAGGCTCTCATCGGTGCAGGCTCAATACTTCCAGTGATTTCCACAGATGCATTGGCCTTTTTTAGTGCTTAAAGAACAGGGACCCAGAAACTGTAGTCTACTCAGCTGTCTTAGACTCAGCAGATGCCAGTCATTTGAACTGTTCTCAGATTTGTTCCTGTTATCAATCACATCTGATCTTTGGAAGAAACGTTAACCCATTGTGCAGAAACTGGAATTACTAATTCCCCTTTCCTCCAAAGAGCAAAGATGGGCTCCTTCTGCAAGGTTCATAGAAAACCTGCCTTTCTAATGTTAACTTTCCTATGATTTTAAAGAAAGTAGTTATCTAATTTGGGTGTGTCACTGCCTTATCACTTACACAGTACTAATTTCCTCTAAGGTTTGAAGCTAGCTGCAGTGTTTTCCCAAGTCCCTGCTCAGTTTTTAAGCCTCTTTACTGGCTGAAATTGTATTCCTTTTCATTTTCCGTATTCTTCTGTTTCAAACAAAGCTTTCTTGCAAGCCCAGGCCCTTGCACATAGAGCAGTGACTTGTACACTGTGATCTGTGGATTACAGGTATATGAAGATCATCAGAAGAGCTATATCATACAGCCATATCACTTAAATATCACTTTCTGTTAACTTTAATAAAAAAACCCTCTGCATTCATCCATTCTCATCTATTTGAATTGGGAAATTTGACAACAATGCACAACTCTCACACACTCTAAGAACCATTGCTCTAGGCTGCTCCCAGTTATAACCATAGAAATTAATAGGTGGATTTTGCTTTCATTTACTAATGAAGATCCTGTTGAGTGTAATACTGTAACCATGAGCCCAGTGAAATATCATTTGTGTTGGAAAGAATAAAGCATCACTACATACCACTAAGTAAATCAAACATTCTCTGTTACATCCTGAGTCTTAATTAGAGCCTCCTTGCACTCTTTAAGTGAGTTACATACCTCAATAATCTCTTTTTCTCTTTATCGTTCTCTGTAAGCTCCTCAAAAGCCAAATCCATAAATAAACCTGCTAATGTGGAAAGGAGCAATAAAATCTCTCACGTGTTTCAGAAACGAGCCTGAAAGGGCTAGGTTTAGGTGGTTTGTGATGGATGTTGTAGTACCAGAGCTACAGTTCCAGGGCCAGAAGATTAGTGTCAGAAATTATCCCGTGTCTCAGAACTGTGCAATTTGGAATCTAAGATTTAGCCGTAAGGAGATGAGAGTGAACAAATTGGTTTCCGGTTGTTGCACTTTAGGAAAAATATTCCAAACAAGAACAGAACGTCAAGTTAACAGAGAGGAGTATGATGAGATGTGAAAGATAACCATTTTCTTCTAGAAAGTGTTTACTCTGAAACCTAATTAAAACGTCAGTTCTATTTCTATAGATCATTTCAACACCAATGTCAATCCGATGTTTTTGTCTTGGAAGCAGTGACCATTAAGGGTGTGGGCAGCAATGGGGTTCTCAGTCATTAATAATTTTTGTGGCAAGGAGCTAAGAAGTCAGTTATTAAAATAATCACCGCTAACACAATTCTGTAAGAAGGCAGGAAGGCAGGAGGAGGTACCCTTCTTTTGACTTAGCACTTAGAGGTATGCTGGCTGCTAAAACTAGTGCAACTTTCAGTCCTTGGAGTATGAGACTTGCTTGAACAATATACTTGATAGTTTCAGGCGGTTTTAATTATCTCAGCCTTGTGAAGCACTGTTTGTCTACTTCTGGGGCCTGTGACACCTGAGCTACGAACTAGTCACTGTAACATACTGAGCTACGTATTAGCAGCAGCAAAGATGGCAGGCATAGGGATGGGGAATTTTACATGGCCCACCACACTTTTTTACCTCCAGACTCCTGTAAGACATTGTTTAGCCATCAGATGATCTTTGAAATCCCAAGTTAAAAAGTGTAGTTATGTAACTGGGCATAGCAGAGCTAAACTTTGAGGCTAGGCATAAAAAAGATGAAGCCTGAGAAATGACCGGTCTGTTAAACAGAAGTGCTTGCATTTAAGTTGTGTATGAAGTGATCTCTGTGTATAGTTCATATGCATCAATTTAAGTTTGGATGGCAATTAGGGTTATTTTAGGATGAAAGGTATGATATACATGAAAGCTGCTTTTGTGGTTATATTATTAAATAATACATTTCTATCACATAATGTAAAACATCCACTGCTTTATTTACAGTGCTTCACTGCAACCATATTTTACTATCATGAGACATTCCTTGACCAAAAATGTTGTTTCTAATCACAGAGTAAATTAATAAGATTGAGTGACTACAGTCTAAATATTTTTTAAACTAATCTAGTCAAATATGTGCTACCATAACTAGGGCATAGCAGTGTGTGCTGCCGTGCAAGAGACTAGGGTTTAATTCTTGGATTCTGCTTCTCACTCCATGAGCAGGAGCTAGGAGCACTCCAGAGCTGCAGCCTCAACCCTGGGAGGGATGGAGCCTTGTGTCATTCAACAGCAGTGACCCCCACTGGCCAATTTAAGGAGAAGCATTGAGGGGCTCTAAAAGGAGTCACTTCCAGTCCTCCTCAGAGGTTGGTGGTCATTGCACGGGATCTAGTGAGTGGAGGTTCAATGGGGTGCACTCGGTGGGGTCTTCAGCTTTCAGTCTGAGGAGCAGAATCCTCTCCGGGGAGGAACCAGCATGTGCGCTTCCTGAGACACTATTTTTGCCTGACATAACTATTAGTGGCAGGATTGTCAAGAATATATATTATTTTTTCAACTGTCCTGTAACTAATGCTGTGATATCTCTTTTAAATAGAATGAGGGAAAACTCCACTAACCTCAATATAATTGTAGCTTAATTCCCAGAGAGAGAGAGAGAGATACTCAATAGCATGGAGAGAAATATAAGTGCAAACTGTCTTCTCAGTGGGTGTCATTATACTAAAGGAATAATATTTGCAAAGAATCTGAGAAATTAGAGATGGAAACACAAGGTCATTGAGCATCTCCCCGCTGATGCACGAACGTTTCCTACCACAGATGATTGAGATTTTTCCCAGGCCAGTGTTAGGTGACCTGAGCAGCAAAGCTAGCACTGTTCCAGCGGGGTCACTAATCCTCAGTCTGCGGTTCTCAGTAGCAGGAATATTGTCTTAGCAGTGGGAGTTACATTTTCGTTTACTTAATGTCATCTTAGTACCCTAGTTTACATCTCATCGGATTGGCCTAAAGCGATCCTCTTCCTTTCAGCACTTGCAGCTGTTAAGCATATTTACCCCTCCCAATCGTTTGGTGGATGTAATACATATTTAATTCTTTCACGTGGCCTCCCCTGCCAGCTGTTCTAGCCCCATAGTTATTTTTGATGCACTTCTCTAAGTCTCATCCAAGTTGCCGACCTTTTGCTGGTATGGCAACAGGGAGAACTTGAGGTCCACACACAAGAGCATTGAAATAAGAGAAACTGTTGCCACCTCGGTCTGTGATTCTGTATTTCAGCCACTGTGGTCCTTTTTGCCTGCCGTATCACACTGCACGCTCAAACCCAACTTGCTGTCCTCTGCCAGGTCTCTCTTGTCTTTAATGCTCTCGCAGTACAATGGGGTGAGGACTGCTTCAGCAGTGCGCACTATACATCATCTGTTGTTTAGAGGGACGAAATAAATTAGCATAAACTTCTGGTTATAAACACTTTTGTCTTTTAAACTTCTATGTCGCAAAGCTTTGTGTGAGTTTTATTTAACCAAATATTTTATGGCTATATGGAGTAACAGAATATAGACAATATAAAGAAGAAATCATGTAACAGTTTCCATCTACTCACAAATTTTTCACATAACACAGGCTGAAAATGTAATATAAACATTCTTCCGTAGCATGTCAGCCTTTGCTGAGGGATATGGAGAAACAGCGTAAATACTTACTGGCAATAATTTGTATCATTTCATGGTGAAAGAAGCACATATCTGATTAAAAAGAAACCTTATTGAATGCAAACATTTGTCTTCTGTTTGCTTTTTACATTCATAAGGAGGAACAGATCCTTTAAAATATGAATCTGTTGTTCGCTAGGATTCTTGGAAGGGCGTGTTATATCAGCAGGTACAAAGCTAGACATCTGGAATTACTGCACTTGTACCAAACGCTAGCTGATGCCCTGCCACCTGAGCTGCATGAAAAGATGCATCCCACATATTTCTTTAGCGGTTAGCACAGCAGCCTGATTCTCGGTTGAACAGAGAGAACAAGAGAGCTCTCTGGCTTTGCACCTTTGCTTTCCAATCTCAAGTTTGCACCTTTCTATCCCATGCTGGTTAGGTTTTTTGCAGCAGATCTGTGATGCACTGGAGTACAGTAGGCGGTTTACTTGTTTTCATGGAAGGACAATTTGTACTTAAAGCAGTGATTAGATGAATTCTTTCTTTCTTGCATGCTTCAGTTTTTGATGACTACTAGCTTCATCAGTGTAATTATAATTAGCACTCTTCATCTTCCTTTTACGGTACCAGCTGGACAGATTGGTCCTCTTACTGCACAGATTGGCGGCAGGGTTGCCTACATGGAGTTAGGTGACAGGCACCATGAAATAACAGATGGTAAATTCAGGGCTTGTTGGCAATCAGCAGGTTTTTGCTAATGACTTAATTAGCTATGCAAATTGTCAAATCAGTGTGAACATTGTTTTTATCGAAAACTTTACCTAAATTAATTACCATAATTAAGTAGCAGAATGTCAAGTATATTGGATGCGTAAAAGGGCTTGGCTGGCTATGGATAAGAGAGTTACCATCTTTATTAGAGTGCTGTGCTCCACATTTGAGAAGTCTGAGGATAAGAAATGTGGTTTCTTTTAAGCTACTTTAAAAATACGCATATCGCCAAGTTGCAACTGAGATGCACCCTGGTGCCTTTCCACATAAAATGGCTCGGGAAAGAATTACTGGATAAAGGCTAAATATTTCAAGCAGGAGTTTAAGGCAGTTTCACAGCCTGCTTACTTGCTTAAAATCATGCACATTTTTCAGTCTACCTGCTTTTCAGTTCTGGGGTTTCTGAAATCCAGAGCCAGGAGCATGCAGCTAGAGAGATGTGTTAAAGTTTTTCATTTACATTAGAAATAAAGTGTAAGCCTGTCTCCTGGTTCCTACTATGCAGGAACTTTTAACTCTGTTGTTCAAATATCACAATGTTAAGAGATGCAAATTCTCTAACATAATTTTTTTAAGTTGATTTTTTCTCTCTCAAGGTTTCCATATAACAAATATTGGGTGCTGTTCACAGGATGTGATGGTGGTAGGAGAACCAACTCTGATGGGAGGCGAATTTGGGGATGAAGACGAAAGGCTTATCACTAGATTAGAGAATACACAGTATGATGCAGCAAATGGCATGGATGATGAAGAAGATTTCAACAATTCACCTGCACTGGGAAATAACAGCCCATGGAACAGCAAACCTCCTGCTAACCAGGAGACTAAATCTGAAAACCCCACACCACAAGCTTCCCAATAGGTCATTCTGCAGCAGTACCCATTGCAACGTATGTCAGTGGGTTATTAATTACTGTTTCACAGCATTCTCAAAAAAAAAAAAAAAAATGAAACCCCCCACCTTTCAACGGATACAGTATCTATTTCTAAACTAAAGCTATCTGATTTTTTTTAATTAGGGAAAATTCTTGTATAAGCTTCCATATACATTTCTTGGAAGCATTCACATACAACATGATACTGGCACTGACCTCAATTAAAATAATTGAAAATTAAATAGCATTCATGGCAAATTTCTGACAATGCATTTTATTGGAAGGGGTTGTTTTTTTCCTCATCGAACAATGGCCATATTTTAACAAGTCATCAGTGCTCAGGATCTCATTAACGTAACTATGTAAAACTTTTTACAATTGTAATATATTTTCTGCTTTTCAACTTGCACCTGAAATTTCTTGTTTCAGAAGGAAAAAAAATCAGCTTTTAAGGAAAAGTAATTTAAAGTGACTTTTGTTCTTTCTTTAACTTTTCTTTCATCAGTTAATCATTTAAAGGATCCAGCATTTTTCATTTACGTTTACCTGATGCCAGTAGATACTCTTTCCATCGTTTAATAAAAATGCTGAAACAAGAAATGTCTTTTTTTCATCAAAGACATGAGAAATATTTTTATGTGGAAAAAGACACCCAGTCCTATGAGAGTTTATGCTTTGTAAAATTGCTGTCGATCCAGATATTTTAAAGCCATGTAATCCATTAACTTTGTGGGCAGCTTAATAAATCTAAAACTTTTGTGTTTTTATTATTGTATCTGAGTTGGCTTTGTTGTTATTTCTTTTCATAGTATATTTCTTGTATAATATTTTTGTAAAGCCCTCAAACCAGTTTTTGTTTTACTTTTTTTTTTTTATTCCGGTGTATTTATGTGAAACTTTATAAAAGAAACTAATTTTTTCATTTACATATTAATATGTTCAACTCATCATGTAAAGACACAGTGAGTCAGTGTGTTATATAATACAACTGTATTTTATGTATGCTTTGCCAATAAGTGTGCCAATAAACTGTGTTAACAAATGTGCTCTTATCTAGTGCATTTACAGTTCCTTGCATGCAAAAGACATATGCCCAAGTGCGGGATCGTGCACCAGGAATTTTTGGAATTAACGTTGCACTGAATTACAATCTTTTTCCAGCAAAAAGGAAAGCCTATAGTTTAGGTGTGAATCGCTTATAGCTCAATTTGGTTAGATGCTCTTTTTTTAACATTAATGATGTGTAACACGACAGGTCAGACCCAGCAGCAAGAGCCAAGCGCAAGGGAGCGGAGGGCATCCAGCAAGCGCAGCTCCATCCTGAACTTTGCATCCCTCACCTTTCAGGGCTGGGGCTTATCAGAGCAGGGATTTCCACTCTGCTGAATTCTGTCTGATAGTTTTACGACAAGTCCCTCAACTGGGGCTGAGAGGATTTAAAAAAATTCTCCTTCTTTCTTCCCTTTGCTATCAAATCAATTGTTCACAGGAGCAGGCAAACCCTCTGGACTGGTGCAGCCTCTCTGAGTACAGCCCGGCGTGTAAAGCCCCTCAGCTGAGCTGGGAGGCACAGAGGCGCACGCCTGCGTCCCGAGGCAGCTGAGACGCTCTGCAAGGTGCACCCTGCCGGTGGCAGATACTTACAGGGAGAATTACCAGCACGGAGATACTGAGTCTACACGATCTTGCCTTTTGTGCACGGGAGCGATGTTTTGCTCTGACTGATACTGTACTTTTAATATTACTGACATTATAAAAGCATCTGTAGAACTCCAGTTTTTTTCCTGAATGGCTGTTCATGTACCCAGAAGCCACTCTAGGGAAACGTGTCTCCCAAGCGTATATGCATATTTTTAAGAATGCTTTTGCTGGGTGTGATTCCGCCAAATAGTTTTGTAGCCACCATTGCAGAAGAAGTACAGGGCAGAGCACCCTGTGTGGCCACTTGGTTCTTCAGCGGGAGACAGCTCCCTCCCTGCCTGAAGAATGGACCTCAGCCTCCAACATGGGCCCCGTTCTCCTGCAAGCAAAATCCTTGTTGGATGAATTTTGGCACCTACAGTAGGCCTTGCAGGAAGACAGCCTAAACGACACAAAAGCATATCTACTGTAGGGTAGAATTTAAAACTACCTAAATAACAAATGTGGACTGAATGTATCTGCATAGATAGCGATGCTACTCCTTGGTAACACTTGCAGGACGTAGGAAATGGTAGCTCTGTCACGCAGTATCAGCGTCGTGGTTCAGCCCCAGCCGGCAGCTGAGCACCACGCGGCCGCTCGCTCACCCCTCCCCCCAGGGTGGGATGGGGAGGAGAATTGGAAGACAAAGGTAAAACTCGTGGGTTGGGATAAGGACAGTTTACTGGGATAGCAAAGGCAGAGGGAAATAACAACAACAGTACTTACAACAGAATATACAAAGCGGGTGCTACACAATGCAGTTTGCTCACGGCCCAGAACCCAATGCCCGAGCAATGACCCCTCCCCAGCCAGCTCCCCCCCCTTATATACTGAGCATGACATCATGGCATGGAATACCCCTCTGGCTAGTTTGGGTCACCTGTCCTGGCTGAGTCCCCTCCCAGCTTCTTGTGAAAATTAACTCTACCCTAGCCGAAAACCAGGACAATCAGCCCTGATTTTTCCATGTAAATAATTAAATTCACAGTGTATTCCATTAAGGGATCATTGGCTCCTATGTAGCTGCTATAACATTACAATTACACACTGTAATTCTAATGTTCAAAACCACTAATCATTCCTATTACATTTCCATGAGCACACTCTAAAAGGCGTTCCTTATTATTAATCTTTCAAGACTGGCACTACTGTTTCAATTTTTAAAAGATTTATGATGTCATATTACTCCTGTTGTTTCAGTAAATAAACATAGGAATGCTTGAAAAACGAGTAACAGACTCCTTAGAGTGCTGTCCTTGAATTAATCTGGAAGGACACTTTCTCCATATCTCCTCAAAAACCCCATCTACAAGCTATCAATCCACCCTATTGTGGTTAGGGTGAATAACAGATGGAGCTAGCTGATTTTATTTATTCCCTTATTTATTCATAAAAGAAATTGTCCAAATGGGCCGGCTCAGTGAAGCGGTTTGGGATGTACAGCAGCTGACCACGCAGTCTGGTCATTGCCACTTCCTTCATCCCCACGCCCTGGGCTGCTGCATGGGCTTTTCTTACCACCTCTCAAATGACACGGTGAACTCGTCAAGTCGGAGCCTGTGATCCTGTGTCTGATCCCGTGTACTTGTGCCCTGTCCTCAGGAACACTCCCCGCGGGCAGAGAATTAAGGTACAGCAGCGACACATTCACTGCTGGATTTGATGCCTTTCGGTGGTGGCTTGCAGTTCAATGACACTGCAGCTTTTGTGTGCTCTGTGACCGCCTGATAACAGAGAAGTGGGAAAGGTGAATAAACATCGCAGGTGAGTTGAAGTAGCACGTTCATGAGAGCTGAGGTTGCAGCCTGAAGAATGAAAGCTTGAAACCAGCAATTAATTTTACCATAATCTAATCTCACCACCTACAAGAACATTGTATCTCTTTTAGAATTGGGAAGGAAATAATGTTGTTGACACTTTTCTCTGGGGAGCCCTGCAATTATTAAAAGGAGGAAGGAAACTTACCTCATGATGCTGAAATACTTTCAAAGAGAAAGCTCTTGTTTGTTTTAGCTAAATGGAGGGAAATACTGGCCCTGAGAAGTGCCCGTGCAAATCAGAGGGAGGAAATTCCAGGAGTTTACTTAGAAAAGCAGAATCATATAATTAGTAAAGTGGCTGAGTTAGAGCACTGATAACTGAGCTGGCTGCTGTTACAAAAGACTCGGACCATGCAAGAATCATAAGCACTGGTGTTTTGGTTACTCTTTGAATTGCTTTGTTTGGGGATTTTTTTTGGTCTTGGGTCAGCAAAGTCCACTTCTCAGGGAGCTTCCAACTCACATGAGTCACCAGCTGGTCTCACCAGCTGCCCCTCGTGAGAACGCTCTTAAAGCTCCATCTTTCTCCCTTTTCACAACGAGCAAAAAAGAAGCAATATTTGCAGCTTTGTAGTCTCTTCAGAAAGAAGGTGTCCTCAGGTTTTATCATCTATGCATTGGTGTGTGTGAATGTAATAATATTGTAGGATAATTTAATTTGGAAGGGACCTCAGGAGGTGTAACTAGTATTTCTATGCTTGCAGCATCACTGGGCTCTGTGAAAGTCCTAAGCCACTAATTTTTAACCTTGGTCCTGGAGAACAGTACTGCTCTCACACATTTGGGAAGCGTAACCAACTTGCGTCCTTGGGGAAAAGAGCAAAAGTGCCCATGACCGGAGAGCTGCCACTGATAATCAGTCCTGAAGTGGGCAGAAAGAGATGGGGGTAGAGGGGAAGGAAACTACGGAGCAGAAAGGCAGAACACCGAGCATCACTGGGTGTGCTCTATCACCAGGGTGGAGAGAGGTTCCTTACCCAGCCTTTGCTGCGAAACGCCATTAAGGGACCCCAAATGATAGAACCAGCCATAAGAACAGACTAAATTTTGCAATTTCGTGGCCTCCATGAAAATCCCATTTTAGCAAAGACAGGATGAAAGAGAAAACATGAATGATTGATGTTGAAGGAAACCCAGTTTGTGCCTAATATATCCTGGAGAAACTGCTAATGGAAATTGAATAGTCCTGAAAATATTTCCTGAGACTGCAACTCTGATCAAGTAGCCCTATGGTGATATATTGCACGTCCAAATTAAAGCTGCCCTGGGGCACAAGTAACCCCAGCAGCTGGTTTTACTGTGTAGGACTGGATGATTTGTATGTTTTTTCTAGCTTTTTGACAGCATATTTTTATACAAGGCTAAGGCCTGAATCCTCTACTATGTACGAGGAGCTCCTGAATATTTAACATCCCATAGAACTGATGTTACTCTGGCATATTATTATGCTTCTATTAGGAAATCTGGTGGTACCTCAGCAGTGCAGAATGGCAGATAAAGAGTCACTTACGGAAGTCTCTAAATTCATAGACCATACTGCTATGTTTCATGAGAAGACACGAATTTCCACTGAATGTTCACATTGTTAAAATCCGTTCTAATTTAGCACGTTATTTTGACAGTGGTTAGACCAGTTCTTTCAAAGGGAGAGGCTTTATTAAGAACAGTGATGGAGCAATCTAACTGTAGGAGCATTTCTTCCATGACCCTGTGAGTCACTTCTGAAATAAAAGAACTATATCCCTTACATCAAGAAATAATTTTAATGGGTCTATGGGCAGTCTTAATCCATAAGCACATTTTAAAACACCATTATGCACTAAAGATGACATCAGAGAATAATACACTTGTGCATACAGAATCAAAAACTTTATAAAAAGTATCC